TCAATTAATTTATGATAATAAGTCACTGTTTAACATACCGTAGCCTTCAAGTCATCGCTCACTAACAGTGAGATAAAGTTTCCCAAAGCCATGCCCTCCATCGACACCGACACTAATATGCAATAGACATCTAATACCGATCCCATCAACTGGAAGTCCAGTATATAAAAAGCAAATATAATCATCACCAGTGTCTGTATCAGTATATTTGCAATTATGATAATATGCTGAGTGAACATAATCTCTAATTGTGTGACACCGGTCACCAGATCCCTTTCCTTTTGGCCGTTACTCCGATCGTTGATAGAGAACAGGGCCGACAGAGTGAGGGTCAGAGTATAGGCGCATCCGATTAGGAAACCCGGAATAAATAGATTACTAAACGAGTAGTCAGTGTCGCCATTGGTGTGAATGTCAATCGGGAGGGAAAGGGCGCGGGGATTGTGTTGAGTGTCCGGCACTAGAGTTGTCAAAAAGTCACGGAAAGTCTGCCAGAGATAGTGTTGAGCGTAGTATCCAATGATATTAGACATGTCGGCGTACACCCGGATCTGACTGCTGTCCAGTTCCTCATCGGTCACGTCAATGGGATACAGGAGCCGATTGTGAAGACTTTCTGAATAGTTGTGCCCAAACACCAGTGACATGACATTGTGGCCGTCCCTCACACTCTGATACGCCGTCTCATTAGACGCGTGCAAATCGTAATCAAATAGACTGTCATTAATGGCTGTAATAAACTTGAGGGACAGGTCTGGCGTCTCTTCGGCCGTATATATAGCTATCGGTATTTTGTTGGGACTTCTGAAGCATACGTTCAGTCCGTAAATTAATAGTAAGGGAAACAAATGGTAGAGAAATAAAACCATTGGATTGTGTTGTAAACGGAGATAATTTTTCCAGATTAAAGTCATTATGCGATTAAAGTTGAGATCAATTTTAAACATTTTCTCATTGTTTNTATCAATAGTAAGGGAAACAAATGGTAGAGAAATAAAACCATTGGATTGTGTTGTAAACGGAGATAATTTTTCCAGATTAAAGTCATTATGCGATTAAAGTTGAGATCAATTTTAAACATTTTCTCATTGTTTCCATTGATATTCAGTTTACCGGATGTTTGTATGGAAAGCAATTCATTTGTGTTTTGAGTTTTATTTGACTCGAGACACAACTGGAGGTATACCTCTTCGAGTTTGTGGCACTGGTAGTCAGTAATCAACTGTTGGGGCGACGATTGCTTAAGACATTTACCCCGGTATACAAAGGCCACACTATTGGCACTGTTAGCCTCCTCGATGTAATGTGTTGTGATCATTACTGTCAACTCTATTGGCACCCAAACCCACAAATATTAAAAACTTTTTAAATTAATATAATAAATTAATTTAAAAAAATAATTACCATTTAGTTTGCACTGACTTTCGAGATAATGCCAAATACGGGCCCTGAGTATTGAATCCAAGCCCACAGTGGGCTCGTCGAGCACCAGTAGCCACGGCTTATGGATTATTGTGACGGCAATGGATACCAGTCTCTGTTGTCCACCACTTAATTCACTGATGAATAGGTCTTTTTGTGGCAAATCTAATAAATCCATAAACTCTTCAATCCGTGTCTCAATTAATTGAGTTTTCATTTCATATATCATCGCATAATAGAAGAGAATCTGTTTTATGGTTAGATCCGCGTAGAGAGCGATGTCTTGAGGCATATACCCGACCCGTGGACCCGGAATACCGGAGCGTTTAGCGCCGGGCTGTTCACCAAACACATGGATTGTGCCGTAAGTGGGCTTAAGTACGCCTAAAATGAGTCGCGACAGAGTTGTTTTGCCGCAACCATTGCATCCCAAAAGTGCAAAGATTTTGCCTACAATTCAATCATTTTATTACATAAATTATTAAGTTTATTTAGTATGTGGGTCAATTAATTGATATTATAACAAAATTATTATAAAAGTATTCCATTTATAATAGTCAGCTATTTTGAATGAGCTACTTACTTTAACTATATATATTATTTACAGTTTATTACATAGAGTAAATTAATCTAATATTACATAAGGCTTATAACAACTGTACACAATTGATACAAAATATTAACAAACAAACCTTTATTTACTTTAATGTTAATCCCATTCAGAATATTCTGCTTTTGATTGTAACTGAAAGACACATTTTTTACATCAATAGCGTATGTTTGACTTTCAGTTATCTTATTATCCATTTAAGTATAACTTATTTAAAATAAATATTATATTTAAAAAATAATCATTAATTTATATTATTAATGTTAATAATTAATTAAATATGACTATAGAATAAATATAAGTTTGGCATCACTTTGCTTTCTGAACACTTCAGATATGAACACAAATATAAATGTTTAAAGTGAAGCCAACCATCCTCTCACTCATCTCACATCCATTGCCACAAAACATCCGTTTCTCTCATTAATGTAAAACTTGTTTTTTACTGGACTTCCCTTGAAATTAATTTAGTTACAGGCATAGGAGAAAGTCATCTAGTTTTTCAGTGTTTTTACAATTAATTTCATTGTAAAATCATTGAACTTCTAGTGAATATTAATTATATTTGGAAATTTTGGAAACTTTATAAACATATTTACATTTTTATTTTAAAAAGATATGTCTAATTTATAAAGTATATACTGGTAAGCACCAGTAAATATCTGTAGTCTTGAACTTTACTGAATTATTATAAAATATTTGTTTATAATAAAATAAATAATCAACATAAAGTTTATAATTAATATAAACATTATATCCAGATATATAAAAATCCAATTAATTCCAGTTAATAGTAATAATAAAACATTAAGAATACTGTAGTTTTAATTAAACGTTTTGTTTACTGTATATACAAATAACTGAAAATAATATACAATTCAACCTAAATTCATATAAACATATTAACACAAATTTTCGTAATCAAAAAACATATAAATTACAGTTAAATAAAAAGCACCAGTAAATATCTGTAGTCTTGAACTTTACTGAATTATTATAAAATATTTGTTTATAATAAAATAAATAATCAACATAAAGTTTATAATTAATATAAACATTATATCCAGATATATAAAAATCCAATTAATTCCAGTTAATAGTAATAATAAAACATTAAGAATACTGTAGTTTTAATTAAACGTTTTGTTTACTGTATATACAAATAACTGAAAATAATATACAATTCAACCTAAATTCATATAAACATATTAACACAAATTTTCGTAATCAAAAAACATATAAATTACAGTTAAATAAAAAGCACCAGTAAATATCTGTAGTCTTGAACTTTACTGAATTATTATAAAATATTTGTTTATAATAAAATAAATAATCAACATAAAGTTTATAATTAATATAAACATTATATCCAGATATATAAAAATCCAATTAATTCCAGTTAATAGTAATAATAAAACATTAAGAATACTGTAGTTTTAATTAAACGTTTTGTTTACTGTATATACAAATAACTGAAAATAATATACAATTCAACCTAAATTCATATAAACATATTAACACAAATTTTCGTAATCAAAAAACATATAAATTACAGTTAAATAAAAAGCACCAGTAAATATCTGTAGTCTTGAACTTTACTGAATTATTATAAAATATTTGTTTATAATAAAATANTTTTTTGGCGTTCACTATAATGGCATTACTTTCGTCGATAAGTGCGTCCACTTTAGTGCCAAAAGCCACTTGTATTATGACTTCCATAGTGTAGGCGCCGAACACTCGCTTCATATCGACCACATGCCCACGATTTGACTCATCATTTGATAGTTTATTCAAATTATTGATCATTGTTTGCAAACAGTCGTCAATCAATGGCCGCATTTTGCGTAACTTTCCGGTCGAGAAAGTGGGCGATACTATCGCTCGCAACCGTTTCCACTGGTCATCCATCACCACCTGAAGCATATTACTAAACAACGGGTCGCTGTCTAAATTCATATTCTAAGCAAGTACAATTTATGAAAACTTTCATTTAATCATGTAGACTATTTGTGTTGCAAACTTACCCTCCTATTCGTAAAACTAGTGAATTCTTTGCTGAACACTAAACTAATGATATCGGGTTTACTACAGATAATAACAGTCTTCCCAAACTGTCTAATGCCATATAGATTGCCGTATTTGTCTGCCATGGCCTGTAGTACCACTTCTTCCGATTGTCTCTTCCATATAAATGTCCAAAAAGATGGCATTTTAACGTCCTTTCCCCTCACATTCCTGTCCTCCCAGTGTTTACTGTCATCTCTACGATAGTACCTTTCAAATTGAATTAATTGATTATTATTTAGTGATATTAGTTAAGTATAACTATTGTACTTGATTATAACGAATACAACTCCAAATACGAGTAAAGTAATAAAATAATGTGTTGCCAGGTAATGACCAAGGTCTTGGACACTATCCCACAGAACGTCCATTTTTACAAGAATATTGATTTTAACTACAAATAAAATGATGTTTTAATAGACAATATCAAAAGACAGTGTCAAAGGAAATACATACCCAACAGAAATGGAATGCAATACTAGGCAATCATATTCTTAATACAATTTGTCAATTAGTTATTAATAATTTGAGTCACTTTATAAGTATGAAAATGAAATGTCTGTGTATTTATGAGGTCTCAATTCTCTAACCAGAATCAAATGAGATACAGTACCCTAAATGAGATTGCGCAATCTTTTAGCACTATTTATCCTATGAGCCATATCACGTGCATAAAGTGATAGTATTACATAACTTATGTTCAAGATAGACACACTGTTTTAGGTTTGACCAATATGTTAATATCTATAAGAGTGTATTACAACACAGTGTACACTCTTATCATTGCATCAATTTGTTATCCCATTCAGTACTTTAGGTTCGTGGTAAACCCAGTGTTGATAAATAGACACTGCTATTCAAACAAAATATTTACTTATTATAACGCTGTATAATAACTTATTTCAGAGATTACTATCATAATAATGTAAAATTAAGTAGGAGTACAATTTGGTACTGTGTATTAATTTGTCCTTCACTTGAATGTCTAACCATTGGTTTACAATAGTTTACGTAATGCAAGAATTTCCATAATATTATTATACCAGAATTACAACTATTTATTAATTTTTATGTTAATTGTGTTTACGATTTTATTTAGAGTTATCATTAAATCCATATACATATAACTATTATAAAATAAAAGTAAATTAGTTTATACTTAATTACTTAAGTGACTAGACACTATAATTGACAATACATTAATTTTTATGTTGTTTTATTGAAAAGTATTTAAGTTAATACAATGTTTAACTTTATATACAAAATAAACATTATTAATCTAATATACTATAAATAATAATAAATTGAGTCCAAACTGGTGTCCATTTCAATGAACTCTTTTCACAACTCTCAACAACACCTCTTTCGGTACGTTTAGCCCTAAGTTGTAATACCTTTCCGGTGGGCGCTGTGAACATGGGTTATGTGAATATAAATTAGTAATTAATTTATGTCAACAATAAATACCACTTACAGCTGTTTTGTCGCAAATTTCAAACTTAAAGTTATGAACTGAATATATTAGAGCCAACTTTGCCTCCATTAGGGCCAGACGTTTGGCCACACAATTGCGAGGGCCCGCACCAAACGGTAGGTGCGCGTAGGGATGGTGTGCTATATTTGATGCCATAAACCGCTGCGGTTTGAAGGCATAGGGATCATCGAAATGCTGTCTATCCATATGTAGGACATACAATTGCGAGGGCCCGCACCAAACGGTAGGTGCGCGTAGGGATGGTGTGCTATATTTGATGCCATAAACCGTTGCGGTTTGAAGGCATAGGGATCATCGAAATGCTGTCTATCCATATGTAGGACATTAATGGGTATTTGAAAGAGGTCTCCTTTGAATACATTGATGCGGTCCTCATCACTGGTCAGTACTATGTCTTCGGAGGCTTCCCTTTCCACTGCCACCGCTGGAGGATATAGACGCAAGGTCTCCATCACTACACCGTTCAGGTACTCAAGCCTTTCGATAGCGTCGTAATCGATGTCTGACTATAAATAGTTTTTGAACAAGTTAATTTGATTATGAGTTTCGGGGAAATATATTTAAACTAACTTTTGTATTAAAAATATTTTTTGATTCTTCAAACAGTCTTTCCTGTGATTCCGGGTTTTCTGCCAATAGGTATGTGGCGTATGATATGGTGGTGGCTGTGGTCTCATACCCAGCCATAAAAAACAGCACGCATTGGGATATCATCTCCGCGTCGGACATACCTATCAAACGAATTGATTATTTAATTTTCAACCCAATAGTTACTTTAATTCATATATGATATCTCATTACTTTTATTATGTGTCTGTAAAGCGCCGGGATGTTCATCAGTAGTTAATTCAGATTTATCAGCGTTTGTGTCTGAATTCAAGTCACNATCACAGGAAAGACTGTTTGAAGAGTCAAAAAATATTTTTAATACAAAAGTTAGTTTAAATATATTTCCCCGAAACTCACAATCAAATTAACTTGTTCAAAAACTATTTATAGTCGGACATCGATTACGACGCTATCGAAAGGCTTGAGTACCTAAATGGCGTAATAATGGAGACCTTGCGTCTATATCCTCCAGCGGTGGCAGTGGAAAGGGAGGCCTCCGAAGACATAGTACTGACCAGTGATGAGGACCGCATCAATGTATTCAAAGGAGACCTCTTTCAAGTGCCCATTACTGTCCTACATATGGATAGACAGCATTTCGATGATCCCTATGCCTTCAAACCGCAGCGGTTTATGGCATCAAATATAGCACACCATCCCTACGCGCACCTACCGTTTGGTGCGGGCCCTCGCAATTGTGTGGCCAAACGTCTGGCCCTAATGGAGGCAAAGTTGGCTCTAATATATTCAGTTCATAACTTTAAGTTTGAAATTTGCGACAAAACAGCTGTAAGTGGTATTTATTGTTGACATAAATTAATTACTAATTTATATTCACATAACCCATGTTCACAGCGCCCACCGGAAAGGTATTACACCTTAGGGCTAAACGTACCGAAAGAGGTGGTGTTGAGAGTTGTGAAGAGAATTCATTGAAATGGAAATCATTTTGTCTCAATTATTAATATTTGAATCACCCTTGGTACTTCTATGAATCAATGTCTAACATTTATACTCAACCATAAGAAGTGACCCAATGATTTTTAATTAGATATTATTAACAAAGTATTTTTGTTAATTTTGTACAACAATTTAATATATCATATTTGACATAGATTATCTCATTTAACTGAAACTTTTTAAAAAATTTCTATTTAATTTAACTACTAAAATGAAAAATAAATAAATAAATATTACTGTCACTCTTAGCAATATATTCTGTTAATATAAAGTTTATATTATAAACAGATTTTATCTTATTTGTTAAAACTCATAAAAAAATTTAATATTTTATTTTGAAATATATACCAGTCAATTTCTGTCAAACAAACGTACAGTACATAAATTTTTTTATTAACTTTTAAATGATATTTTGAAAAATTGATATATTTCTAATGAATATAAATGTTAAAATACTTGTAGCTAATTTAATGTTCATTGATAATTCAATAACACTTTCATTTGCAATGTAAATGACATTTTAAAAAATTATCAAATTTAAAAGTACTTGACAATGAATTTTAATAAAAATATTTATGAAATCCAGTATATGAAGGACTTATTGCTTAAAATATAATTTAATAAATAATTACAATTTATCCATTAGATTCTTAATACTGATAAAAGTCATTATTAAAATATAAAATAATTAATTTTATTTAAAAAATTGTATTTAGAGAATTTCATAAGCAATATTAAGAAATTTTTATATTAAATAAATAATTGTACAAATCGATAAAAACCACTTAAAAACCACATTAATATTCAGTCACACCATTATACTGTATCACTGAAAGTTTAATTGAAAGAAAATGTAACACATGTAGGAAATCTTGGTATAAAAAAGTCGACCATAGATTGCTATGAATACAAAATAGCATTAATTACTGTCATAAATAAAGCGTTAACTGTAATCACAAACTAAGCAATACTTACAGAAATTTGTGGACAATTTCGTCGTGAATACCACTCAATACTATATAAATTGAGTTCAGCGGCGAAGCCAAAGAATAATAAACCGAAATATAGTGTGTTATAAAAATTAAAATATTTTGATGCTTGCGATTGGTTCAGCATTAATTCAATATCTAAATGTTAAAAAATTTATTACAACAACACTTTTCAATAGATTAAATGTATATGACTTACTGCCGAGTACACCAAATATAACGATAAATATGGGACAAAAGCAATTCATGGACTCAACCATCAGATACTCGTGAATAATAGCCGACACAATTAGCACCAAACAATTACTCAGACTTTTATTGTGAGTTGTGTTGAACACCGGTATGTAGATATAGGCGTACAGCCAGTCCTGGACTATAGTATTCCAGTGACGGTAAAAGTCCTTAAAGTTTTTAATAGTCCACCACTCGGTGTAAAACTGTCGGTCCCCGAAACGTAACATCTCTGCCCAGGCGTTGGACCAGCACTGGAGGAACCCATAGAATAGGCACAAGAAGATCGGTAAAAGTCCTTAAAGTTTTTAATAGTCCACCACTCGGTGTAAAACTGTCGGTCCCCGAAACGTAACATCTCTGCCCAGGCGTTGGACCAGCACTGGAGGAACCCATAGAATAGGCACAGGAAGACCATCGCCCCCATCGGGAAGCCTACGGCTAATGTCATGAATATGTTTCGCAGATTTATAGGCTCTAAGCCTATCTGAGAATAACTGTCCACAAGAAACGGTCGGATTATAATTAGTGCACACAATGAGGTGAATATAACTTGAGAGAAATTTTTTAGGACAAATCCCCATCGTATAGTGGGTGACCTGGGACATACATTTTGAATTAGAAATTAATATATATTGACCGTGATTTTTTAAATCATAGTCCAGTACCTGGGATATTCACTTCGATAGATAAGTGTCGGGGCAAACAGAAAGTATAATAATTGAGACAATTGTGGATATTTAATGACCCTTTCCTTAGTGTGAACATCAGGTAACATATCAGACACTTCAGTGGTTTCCGTACCATATGAATGCAATTTCATTACAAGTCTGACCTAACAAGTAAGATTAAAATAATTAATATTAATCTTGGCAATTTCTTATTTAATTAATACCAACCATTTCTAAGAGTAGCGAAAATCTGCTCATATTATGCGTGACAATCAGATTATTACAGAAAACAAACAGTAAACAAATGTAAAATAGATATAAAAGTGTGAAAACAATCTTGATGAGCAGTGAATGACGTGAATAGGTGTGTAATAAATAGATCCGCATATTATTGAATGGATAGAAAATGAATACAATGGTTAAGTGCATTGTAATCCACGCCAATAATGCCATTAATGTACCACTGAATATAAACTCCAAAAATTCCAACTCGTATTCAAATCTATAAAAAAATTAAATGTTTAAAATTTTCAAGATTGACATTAAACATACTTTTGGGGATTTAGTATATAGTTTCCGACGTAACAAATGAATAATACGACCACAAAACTGGCCAATATATTGAATGAACATCTCAGCTCTTTATTTGTGTCAAACAAATCTCTATTAAAATATAAACATTAAGATAATTATATTGTTATATAACTTTTATGAGATTTTAATTCATTTTAATTACATACGTTAACACCGATTCACGGCAAACAAATTGTTTGTCAAACTTTTTAACTTTCATATTAGATGCCAAACACAAAGACTTTGTAAAACATAGAAATTAATACAAATTTAATATCAAATACTTGTTCACTCAATGATTTTCACGATAATATTTGATGTTTATTAACTTGAAATTATGAAGTCGATGTTTTACAAAGTTATATTGAAAATTATTAATTATACTTTATTTTTAGCAATATTAATCCCAATTGATTTAATTCTTACAATTAATTCAAATAATTTAAAAACTAAATTAATATTTCAGATGTAAATCCTAGAGGTCTAATAACTGTAAGGTTTTTCACGAAATTAAAACACACTCTTATTTAAAGGTATTTTTGAAGGATTTTAAACATTTCAAAATTTGTTTACTGAGTTGACATCAAAATTTACCAACATGACAATTTAGCAATTTTCAGTTTAAAAAAATTATATTATCAGAATTTTAACATGAAATCAGAGATCGTAATTATTACACATAAAACAAATTTAGTTACACTATACCTGAAATTAATATTAATTTATTTTTATATTATTTTTATGATTTTTGATTTTAATTAAAAATAAAGATTTAAACAACTTTTGAAGAAATGTAATAAAGCTATGAAAAAGTGAAACATAAGAGACTTAAATATGAATACTGTATAACACTTATTACCGGTATATATATATACCTGTATATACAGTATACTCTGTATACTACATTTGAAAGACCAATCACTTGCATAATATTGAGATAAACTATTTTTTGAGTGAATAGCTTTTGGTAAAATCCAAGGTCAAGGGACATACAGGTCATCTCGTTTTTGGGGGATTGTCTCATTTTTCAGATAGATTTCCTGTGAAATGACGTAAAATTATTTATAAAAATTCATAGTAAGTGATGGTACTATTAAAGTCAAATAATATTAATTTAAGTGATAAGATATTGACCTTAAAATACCCAAAAAAGCAAAAAACATAAACACTATTCTTAGAAATTGGATCAAAAGTTATTTTGAATTTCACTTTCGATGTAAATAACCAGTTTTGCAAACGATATACACAAACTAACCATTTTAATTGGGAATTCCCTACTCCCGGCTCATCTCTCTCTCTCTCTCTCTCTCTCTCTCTCCATACAATAATCAGTAGATTTGACTTTTACTTTAATTTATTTAAAACTAAAATTAAAATTCTATGAACGGATTATGATTAAAAATACAAATAACATAAGTTTCTATGAAAACTAACGTTTTATTCATAATCATTCCAATAAAGTTTGAATTGGAAATTAAAATTAAATAAGTTAAAAGAATAATATATATGATTAATTATAGTTTTTAAAATCTTATAATCCACAAATTAAGTTTCAATCAATTTTATTGGATATTAATAAATATATTTAATATACAGGTAAATTAAATAAAAGTATTATAAAAGTATAATAAGTACAAGTAGAAAATTATAACTGAACTTATAATAAATGAATTACCGACAAAATTGTGAACTAAACCAAGCCAATTATAACTATCAGTTATTTTTATAATGCTACTTATAAATCTATATTTATTATTTACAGTTTATTAAATAAAGTAAATTAATGTAATATTGCATAAGGCTTATACTGTACATGTAGCAACTGTACACATTACTTTGAGTTATATTATTATCCATTTAATTAAAAGTTATAATTAAAAAATCATTAATTAAATTAATTTTATTTTATTTGACTAATAATTTATAAATTAACAATTTATTCATGTTATTAATTATTTAAATATGACTACAAAATAAATATAAGTTTGACATCACTTTGCTTTCTGAACACTTCATATATGAACACAAATATAAATGTTAAAGTGAAGCCAACCATCCTCTCACTCATCTCACATCCATTGCCACAAAACATCCGTTTCTCTCATCGAGACATTACTCGAGACATAATGTAAAACTAGTAAAACTGTAAACCAGTACAATTTTATAAAATGTGATTTAATTGAACAAATTGCCGTAAGTAAGTTACAAGAATAATATTTATTATAAATTATTGTTTAAAAAATCTTATAATCCAAAAATAATAAGTTTTTTCATGCATTAATTCACATGGCTTACAGATTACAGTATTTACTTTAAATTAATCAGTTTTATAAAAACTATAAATGTGTATTTAATTTATATTAACAACAATAATTTAAGTTTATTTTTATATTTATGTTTTAATTGAGAGAATAACGTTGATAATAGTGAACACAATTATATACAGCAAACTAATCAAATATCCAAATAACACATCAAACCAATAGGGAGTCCAACCCCTATACATAACAGATCTCAATGCGATTATAGGGGCAGTCATTGGCGACCACTTGACCACCCATTGAAAGTACAGTGGCATCGACTCTATGGGCCAAAACAAACCGGATACC